GTAAATGGGCCATATAGTGATGCTTAAAGTATAATGTTCTCACCTCAAATGATCTAAAAACATACTTTTATAGAACAACAGCAACAGAAAGGAGAACTGGAAGTTGCTGGGACAGCTGTCAGCTGGAGAACGGACGAGTCTGCTCTGATGCATGCTGGGTAAAGAGGGAGGGGCCAGAACAACATCCAGGGACTTTCACCGTTGAGGCTGATGATGTCACAGGAGAACACAGAAGTACTGAGAAATGGACCGTATCTCGTTCTCATGTTCTCGTTACAGTTTATATTGCATCATTAGTCCCCTGCTTCTAACACTTTCATCCCTCCACCTCCATGGACTTGCTTTCACTAATTTTGCCTTTTGTTTCTGCTAGCTAACTTGCTTTCAGCCAATCAGTTAGCAGAGCTAATTAGGCCTAGAAGCCCTTAATCACACATATTTCACCTGCAGACTCATTTGCATTGCTATACGTATATTAGTCTGTTAATATGAGAAGTACATCTGATGAAAGGTAAGAATAATATTTAATTTGGGATATCTGCAGCATTTTTGCTTCTCTGTGAGGATCAGAGGTGATACATACATGTACAGTCCTTTTGGTTTTTGGCCAACTCAAACCCAGGTCGGCATTCGCAGGACACTCCGCTTTTGAAGGGAGCCTCTCTGCAGATGTGAGCGCAGCCGTGGTCTTTGTTCATGCAGTTCATTCCATCTGTTTAAAGGAAGGGGACAATGAGACAGAGGCTTTATCCAGTCATTCTCTACGACGCAATCTCTGATACACACTGAAAAGTCCAAATGTAAAAGCCCAGTTTAAACTCTTCTCTGACAATAAAGGCAAAGAGAAAATGGTCTGGGTCTACTTTTCTTCACCAGGGACAGGTAGGATGGTTTAAACCGATGGGAAGATGGAAGGAGCCAGAAGCATTCTGGAAGAAAACCTGCTGGAGTCTGCAGAAGACCTGAGACTGGCACAGAGATTTACCTTCCAACAAGACAATGATCTAAACCAGAAAGAAGCATCTAGAATGGAAGGGCTCACAGAGAAACATGGCCTAGTCAAAGCCCAGACCTGAACCCAATCCAAAACATCTGGCAAGAACTGAGACCAGCTGTTCACAGAGGCTGAGCTCCAACTGTTGGCCGGAAGAATCGCCGTAGCTAAACGTTATAAAACGAACCCACCAACTGCTGATGGTTTTAAGAGTTTTAACTGAATGCTAACGCTCACTGAACAGACTGATCACGTCACACCGGTATGAAGACAGCGGCTAGCACTGTTAGCTAACCCAGCTAACCGCTCCTTTGTTTCAGCAGGACCCGTCCGGACCAGAACTGGGACCAGATAAGCTAACCCATTTCTATTTCAGCCTCATCACAGCATTATGGATTCCTGGGTCATTTTTCACCATAAAACCAAATGAAACTTTACCGTTTTGACTGCAGTGAACATCTCGTTTATTCACCTTTAATCTGCTGCTATTATAAAGAACACTTTCAATGCATTAAACCAAAAAACTTGAACATTCCTCAGACTTTGAGGGGAATTTAAACCCCTCTTCCCCTTTCATTTATTTAATTTTGCTTATTTAGCGTTTCTTCTTTCAGTAGCATCCGAATGAACAGAGATACATTTTTTGGTTGGTGATAAATAACGTTGCTAATAGCCATACCCTAATTTACTAAATTGGTGAAAGACAACTGAATATTAAACAACAGGTTTCAGGAGTCCAAACTTTTATGTAAGAGACTAAAAACCCTGAACAGTAATCAGATTACATTTATAATTATTCAACTGAAAATAATTCATTAGTTTTACCCTTGATTTAAATGAACTGTTAATTAACTATAACTTCCAGTTCTAGATATTCAATATATTCATAATCTTCTGGCAAACTT